TTTGCCTCCTTTTGAGCGGCAACCCCGGGCGGTGATCTTCTCTGGGCAGTGTTGTTGTAGCCTAAACCAACTCCGATCTGGTGTAGGAAGATGCGAGGATAATCTAGTGAAGTGGGGTTTCCCCAACGACAATTATTAATGTCACTGTGGCGAGGTCCAAACCATGGCCCATCTAATGCAATGTCCATTGTGTCCCTCTTCCTGCACCTACGAGGACCCGCTTGAAGCCAATTCTGCTGCGGGGGATGTGGCCAAATACTGGTCGAACAAGATCTAAGTAGCTATTTTGACTCGAAAAGGAAAAGAATTACTAAGATAAGTTTTAAAAAAATTATATCAAAGAGATTTCAGGTCGAAGGAACGTTTGGAAATGTTGTCTGGGTAATTTTTTTTTTTTTTCATAAAAACTTTCAATACTACTTTTATGCCCTTAGGGAAATGCCTTTGTATAAATAATGCATGAAATTTGTTCCCAACACAGGTGCCTACGTGGGACTGTATTCTCATATCTGTTTATTTCGATCTCGAAAATTCTAGTCGAAAAAACAGCTAGGGAATATTCTTTGATATCACGAAGTAACCCATTATTATCTTTGGCGTTATTCGAAAATTACTTCCTTCAGTTTTTCCTTCGCATGCCACAGAAAGAATTTAGCACTTTCATTTGTAGCATTGACTTTTTAATTTAATATTGATCAAGTAAAATATTTACAACCAATTAGTTAATAAACTGTTCAGAAATTCTCCAAGAAATTCTCGGCCGGTAAATTTTACGATAACTCGTTAAGATCACAGTAAAATTCAAGACTTTACAAGGAGTAGTCTGTATGCCTGTCTCTGCTACCCATGAAGTCGATTTGTGCTGTTATGGATGAAGTAAGTATATTTTTAATGATCTTAACGTATATTAACGTGTATTTCCATTATTCTTATTTCACTAAACTTTATAGCAACGCCAAGTTGCAACTTACAAATTATAGTCCATTGAAGTTAAAATTATTTTTGACCTCTTTTTTTTTAAGTAAATAGGGCATGAAAAGTACCAGCGTTTGTCAGGGGTGTATAATTTTACCATTGTTCTTTAAGATCTACACAGAACTAATAATGAGACGCACTCTTAAGAATTGGACTGACGCAATCGCCATTCGAGATAGGAAAATTTCAAACCTGCTCTGTGCCTTTTCGCTACAAGTGCACCTTGTTCAATGAATGAAGAACATTAGTCTGGAGTTCAGCCTCTAGATTAACCGCAATCTGACCGAAGTAGTTATTGTCGATCAATAACAACTAATACCGATACGAACTACGCATTGGTCCAATCACACATTTACTTGGAAGCGCTGCTCTCGAACACTGGCTTCATGGACGAGATCAAACAGCGTATAGTATAGTCTAGGTCAGTGATGGACAAATTGCAAAAAATATGGAGGAATCGTAAAATAACCCAGGACAACCGGATTATTCAGAAACCTCGTTTTTTTAACGCTTCAGGGAAGTGGATTTCACATGCGACTGAGAAAAAGGATAGTTCAATGCGGCGCTGGATAAGAATGCTGAGAGTACCCTGGAGTGCATTCCGCACTAGAATCCTCGCATACTTTCGGTAACTGGTCAGTTATGTATTTATAGAGCGTTTGGTGGTGCAAGGACGAGTACAAGGTACGCAACGGCATATTCTTGATCGCCCAAGAGGTATATACAGGATACATGGATGACATTAGTGTGCAAGAAAGACAACGACTAGGGAAGAGCGGAGGCGTATATTCAAGCGGGCTACGAGGTCAAAATTATGACAAAGATCAGTCTGTCAAGACTGAAATGATGAGCTTATGCACTCTAAGTTTAATGATAGTGACTAAAGTACCACGTCCGAGTAAGTACCTCGACCTCACAGAAGACCGGTTTGAAGTGGAAATGTTATTATACTTCTGCGTTTCGTCTGGTGAGTGAGGTAGTCCATTTTATTAAAAGGTGACAACGTATCTGCAACCCCTCGGGTGTAGCAAATGTCCATGGGCGACGGTTGTCACATTTAATGTAAATGTGACAACCGTCAACAGGTGAACCGCCAGCTCGCTTGCTACCTTCTCATTAAAAAAAAAAAAACAATTAAAAAAAGTGGCCGAAAAGAGAGACTAGTGCAAAAATTCTCAATAACATCCCAAAATTAAATGTTGGTGTTTTGTTAAGCCTCAGTGATTTCGACACTACGACACGTAGAAACATTCTCCATTTTTAGTATCGCTACTCTACTGTAAAGGAACTATTGAAACTCTTTGTATAATAGGTATAAAGTAGTAGTACAGATAATTATGCTGTTGAAATTTTGTCGGGTAGTTTTTGTTCAATGACTAATTTTGATGTGTATGAACGGCCATGGTATATCTATATTATCTATAGCTATATTATGAACATTTTTTAACTCCTCATCTTTAAGATAAACGAAAACAATATTAATTTTAATTGCTTTGAACTTTACGATTCATTATGAACATAAATTATAGTAACATGAATAATATCTAAGTATTAATAATGGACGAAAACCTCACAGAAGGTTTTTCCATTCGAAAACAAATTTGAAGATGTAGTCATGTTTCCTGACAACTCCCAAAAGTGCTGAGTCACGAAGTTCTCTCCATACATTTACATATTTAAAGAGAGATCTATTCCCAGAATGCTTATTGTACGAGGTCCTAACATTTTTAAAAGTAGAAGATTTCGTACAGAACTTATTTAACTTACGACAACGTCTAACCATACGACTGTTACTATATTTTTTATTTTGACGATTATTCCTTCTTTTTTTAATTTTTCCTTTACTAAAGGTATACTAGATATTTCTGAGTTAGTCGGTAGTGTAAGTTGCTAAACCGATTATATAGTCTTCTTAAGGACTTGGACCTTTTATATTTTCGCAAGCAAAGATTAACATTTCCATTTATAATTATTTTGTAAATCTTTAGCGATCAAACAAAAAGTACGCTTATTATCACAATTAATTGCCCAAATACGAATATAGAATTAAATAATACAAAGTTTTAAAGTAAAAAATTTGGAAATATGTATAAAAAAGGTACATAAACTTTAAATATAATTTTACTTTTATTGAAATCCGAACAGCTACGGAATTTTAATCACAATACGGCATTTTATATGTCTTTAATACTGGTGAAAAAAACTATATTATCAATTTAACACTATATTGTCACTTATTGGTAAGATATAAAAAGTATGTTATTTTTACTCATGTCATCTTGCCATTTGGTTTGAAATCTCAAAAGCATTAGATAGTATCAGCTTGATGCAATTTATTCCGTCAACCACCTTTATTTACGCACGTACGTTGTATTGATACTTTGAGTTTTGACAATGTGAATTTACCAAGTAATAATAAATTTTGTTGATATTGTACGGTAAACTGGAGATATGTAACAAATCACATATGAAAAAAAATACCCTACATGGGAGCAGAATCCACAAGAAAGAAATCATTTCAAAGACAACAGCTTTAGTACAAATATTAAGATCAAAAGAAAAAGACACGGAATTTGTGCTCCTTTTTCTATACGTGGAAGCGTTTTCACGAATGGTTACACTTGTAAAGAGTAACCCCTATTAAATGTTTGAGACATTACGGTCACTTTAACCTATGATATCCTAATTGCTGTTCGTACGATATTCGCCTTATTTATCTTCTACAAGCGGCTTCTTCTTGAATTATGTATTTTTATGTTCCATGAAAACATTTTATGAATTCCAGGCTGACCTAATGGCACAAGCAGCATAAATAGAATAATAATCTCATAAGCAAGCGTTCTTAATCTTTTTAAGATACTTGTAACAATAGTAAATATTTTATTATTGTTTTACTTTGGTTCTTGCTATATAATAAAATCATTAATGGCAAATGCATGCATTTTTACGTTTTAAGGATTCATTAAATAACCACTGGATTATTTTATTTTGTAGGAGAGAACATGTACAGACAAATTTTTGATACCGATCATAAGTTCTTCTATTGTTAAGTGGGTTATGTAATAAAAAAAAATATTGTAGCTGTATTAAATGGGTCGTGCTACGATACCAATAAACTCGAATACATGATTTGATTTCCGCAGTATTCATTAACAATAAACTTTTTCATCTCACATATTTTCTCAAAATCACTAATGTTTTATCTGAACTTTTATCTACACTATTTCTTAAAGACTTTGATGCACATGAACACTTCTTTAATCAGTCATGTATAGTTACTATCACACGTATCGCATCGCTTTACTATAATATAAGATGAATTGTTTAATCAATTAGACAGAACGTTTCGCTAGTGATAGGCCCCACAGTACTATACAATTTAATCTATATCAATACATTTTTTTTAAATGTACCTATAAAAGTATTGCAAAATTTTTCGCTGCTGAAAGGATGCGAACCTACACCTAAGCTTAGCGAACAACATGTAACCCTTTTGTTTTCTAGTTTTTTTTTGCATTTTTCATCCCTACTTTCCAAACAAACACAAACATTCACTGATTTCAATCCGAGCAGCGGCGAAGAATTTTGCGACACGCTAACTACATATTTGAATTTTCATTTCAGATGCAGGGACTAGCAACAAAATTAAAACTTAAACAAAATAATTTCTGAATGTACAATTTGTTTATATAAATTTGATACTCCGTAACCTTTGCTGAGTAATGTAATCAATTTTCTTAGAATGTTTTTACAAAACAATTTCAAAAATATCCTGCTCAGTAAAGAAGTCAACATTAGGCCCTTTGCTAGCATATTTGAGTGTAATCAAACGTGATTTGTCGATTTTTGGATAACAAATTTAAAATCAATCCTTTGAATAATTGATTCAATTCGTAAAACGTCTTCGTATAAAATCAATTACGCCACTGATTGACTTTATTAATTGAAAGATTGTCATCGATTCGCCAAGAGTACTTCACCGGCAAGATAAAACTGTCTTGAATGAACTGTATGTTTCATTAATAATGAATTTCTTATCGATTATCATAGTGTCTATAAAAAGTGAGTAATCCTTTATGTTTATTGAACACAAACTCAATTATAGGGATATTTTTTATGTATAACTTATTTTGTTTATGTTTGTTGTAGTTTGTAATTTATTTTAATTTTGTAATGATAGAATTTACTGTATATGTATATTCAATTCAGATAACTTTTCAGACCTCTAATTAATGATACTTTTATTTTTTTGTATTCGACATTTATTTGACTAGAATCTTTTATCTCTACTTATTAACTATTAATAACATTTAATTTATTTTATCCAAATCGGATAGTAGTAAAGTTATTATACGTATGGCCTATGTAACGCTTTGTATCGGTATCATAATTATTTATAAACGACAGATTAAAACAAAACACTAATCCCAAAAATAAATATATTGCATTTATGTGTTCTTAATTTTTTATTCGAGTTACTTTAAAAGCTATTAGCGTTACTGAATTTGAAGAAATTGAAATGAGCAGTTTCGTGATTTTTCTATTTATTTCTATTTTACAGTTTACATTGTGACCAGTTCAGAATGTAACATCAAATGTCCAAAGGGTGAAGACAAGCCGGTTTGCGGTTTAGATTTTCGCAACTTAGCTTACAAAATGTTTCGCAGTGATTGCGCAATGGCAGCTTACACTCAGTGTTATCATAAAGGTATTAATTTGCATACTTCTTTACTACTTGCTTTGGATAACAATTCTATTTTCACGGTTAATATTCTGCTTTGGGTACCATACTATTTTCTACGAAGACAAGTGTCATGACTTGGCCCTAATGGACCTGAGGTTTTATCGAGACTGTGGTTTAGGAAACGTTCCTTTATTTTAATTTTCCATACTCTTGTTTTTTTATATATGGAACTGACTAGTGTTAGAGTGCCATCCCACCTGATTGTGGATGGCGATGCAGATGTGGATGGTAAGCGCGCTAGCTCAGTTGTTGTAAAATAGCTCTGTAGCTTCCTAATTTTTTTAAGAGAACTAGATTATTATTTATATCTCAAAGTTGTTAACAAAGAATTATTTAGCTTGTCTAGTTTGAATATCTTACTTGTAATATAACATACAACTAGCAATAAATGGCGCATAACCGAGGCAGCTGGAGGTTTCTAGTAGTATATATATATATATAGGATTCTAGTAGTATATATATTTATATATGTCGGATTATATTGGACGCTAAGGAATAATTTGGGTCATTAAGCTAATAAAGTAATAAGCCATATTAATTTAAATACCGGTACTAATGAATTATTTTAATTGCATACTTAGCTGATTTACCACGTGTGTGATAATACTAAAACTTAATTTTTTTATTAAAGGTTTTTTTCTTAATCACGAGACGCACATAGTCTTATTATTAAGTGTTATATTAATCCATCAAATTTATAATTTATCTTTACCTACCTCATATTAAAATAGTATTGATTTTTACGCAAGAGTTTTCACCACTAGCAGATGACTAAGACCATTTCCAAAACTCTTTATTAAGTGCTTGCGTCACAATATTAATACGCGATATCTAAAATTCATGTCCATGCTGAATTAACGGTTTGGCCAAAATCACACTCTCAAGTTATAGTCAGATGTCATAAAATTTTATTCACATTCGTTGTAATGAGCGATACGGCATCTTACAACACATAAGAATGGGCAAAATCACAGGCAAACGAAAAGTTGGATTATGAAAAATCCGGGAAAGAAGATAACAATTGGACTTTAACAAGCCGATAGCTAACCTTCACCAGTTGGAGAGCCATCTTAAGAATAAGAAGAAGGAAAATCTTAATATTTTTGGATCACTCCGATCACCGACCAGTTCTCCTCCGGCTAGGGTCTTCAGCAACAGCCGCTTCCCTAACTAAAACTGTCATCAGCTGGCATAAAATCAAATCTAAATTTAACGAACCTAATCCTCCACAACTAGAGTCAATCCCTAGAGAATTGAATACCAAACAGGACACGGAAACCGCAATTCGAGCCCTCACAAGCCACGTTAACACCGTCGTCGAGCAATGCTCGAGACAGGTCCCAGCGATGGAAGACCATCGCTGGGCCCTGCCAGACGATGTGCGAGACTTGCTGAGACGCAAGAATGCGGCCACTCGAGCCTACGATAGATATCCCACCGACTCGAATCGTAGACTGCTACGTAAATTGCAGCGTGAGGTCAAAACAAGCATAGCAGACTCACGAAACGAACGTTGGGACTCCACCCTAACTTCAGTAAAACCATCCCACATAGCCTTCTGGAAACTTCCCAAATCCCTCAAGGGTAACGGCATAACAACCATGCCGCCACTAGTCCGTCCGATAGGTACGCCAGCAATGCTGGACGAAGAGAAGGCCGACTCATTCCGCTTCGTGCTTCCACACGGAACGGACGTTACTCTGAGCCGGAGGGCCCATGCCAACCGACCCGGAAGCCATCTTGCAACCGTTGTTGCTAATTCTATTTCTTTTATCTCTTGGTGTGCACTGTTCGCCTCATCGTTGTCGTGTTTCGCGGTCTACGGTTAGGGAAGTCTCAAGCAAGAAGAAAGAAGAAACATTATAGAAGAAAGAAAAAACATTATAGAAGAAAGAAGAAACTTTGCCCGACTTCCGAGCGGATAGTGTTAGTGTAGTGTTGTGCTCGTAGGCAGGTTCCTGTCCGTAAGTAGAATCTACACACATTTCTCGTCTCAGAGGCGGCATTGTAATTTTTATCTGTGTGCTTGTTGCATTAGGCGACAGCTAGGTACTCACCCTAGCGCACCTAAAGCGCAGGCGATTAAACGTTAATTTTTAGGCACACACCTCCCTGCCGCAAGGTGGGGAGACCTATTTAGAAACCACACGCCGGCGGGGCGCAAGCCCCAAAGGCACAAGCGTCGTCATGGGTTCCCTCTTAGAGGAGTTCCTTCGGCAGGAATGCCCCGAAGTATGGGCAAAATATTTAAGCTTCGCGAGGGAACGGCGCCTTGTCGTCGAATTCTTTAGCGACAGTCCGGCTTCACCGGCTGCCGCCACGCCGCCATCTCCGGTGCCCTCTGCGCCAGCTATTGTGTCGCCCTCAGCGACAATCGAAACGCCCGTCGCGTCGACCTCCGCCGCCGCGATCGATCTTAACGCGCCTTCCGCGCAACCAATTTCGGTCTCCTTCCGCGCTGTTGTTCCCGATTCACAATCGGACGGCGGCTCAGACATGGAGGTCAAAACGACCCCCGCTAACAACGCGAACGCCAACGGCTTCACCGTCGTCAAATCGCGAAAAAAGGGCAAGAAACGCCCTGCTACAGACAGCGACCCCGAAAGCGAGGCCGCCCCGTCAAACCGTCCCACCGCGACGCCAGCCAAAAAGGCAGCCGCGTCTGCCCAGTTGGAACCGACATTCGCCTCCGAGCGAAAAATCAAGCCACCGCCGCCAATAATTATACAAGATAAGGCAAAGTGGCACCAGGTTTGTTCGTGGTTTGAACGCCACAACATCCGAGACCCCCGGTCAAAAAATACTAATATGGGTATCCGCGTATACCTCGATTCGTCAGACGATTTCCGCCGCGTAACAAAGTACTTGCGCGAAGCTAAGGTAGGTTTCCACACCTACTCACTACCCGAAGAGCGTAAACTTCGGGTCGTAATTAAGGGCGTCCCAAAAGAGTCGGATGTCGATATGGCTAAGGTCGACATCCGCACTCAGGGATACCCTGTTCACGCCGTGCGTCGTCTCAGGCACCCTCGCACCCGTTTCCCTATGGACATGGTCATGGTGGAACTTGACCCTACCCCGGAAGGTAAGGCCATTTTCAACCTTAAGAGGGTCTGTGGGCTCAGTGACTTAGTCATCGAGCCCCCACGCAAATCAGGTGTTGTGGCACAGTGCCACAACTGTCAACATTTTGGCCACACGGCCAATAACTGCTTCGCTCACCCAAGGTGCGTCAAATGCACCGGTGAACACGGCACAATCGAGTGCACGAGGCCGAAAGATTGCGCAGATCCACCGGACTGCGTAAATTGCCACACTACCGGCCATCCGCCTAGTTATAGAGGCTGCGCTAAGGCCCCGAAAACTCCCGCGAGAAAATCTCCCGCGAAGTCTACGTTGCCTAAACCCGCTCCCGTTAAATAAATTCCCGCGCCCGTACCCGTCATTAACGCCTGGGCGAAACCCCAGGTGGCCGCGCAGGTAATCGCGCCGGTAATCCCGGTCGCCTCACGACCGATCGCGCAACAGCTGCCCACCTCTCAAAAGGCGCCGCGGCCGCAGGTGCAGCCAATTCCGTCAGTTTTCGCGGAAAACAAGGACGACCCCTTCGCGCAAATAGCTAACATCTGCAGCTTATTAGATAGAATTAATAGGCAGGAACTCGCCGTATTGTCCGCTAAAATAGCGGCCGCCACAACTGGCCACGAGCGTCTTAGGGCAATTAGCCAACACAAAACGCTTGTGGAAGCCCTTTGGGCTTTTACGAGCCAACCGTAAAGAACAATAGTCCGCGCAATCAAACCGCGCTCCGCCGCGTCATAAATTAGACCCATAAAAACACCTTAATGGGAAGTACAACCGCAGGTAGAACAAAACCTCGGGCTCTGGTTGTTTCGTATTTCAACGCAAACGGCATAAAGGGTCAAAGGGATGAAATCGCGGAATTCCTTCGCGATTATAACGTAGATATTTTCCTAGTGCAAGAGACATTCTTGAAACCTAGCGTACGCGATCCCAGAATCGCAAATTACAATATTGTCCGCTACGACCGGTTAGCAAACCGTCTGGGAGGCACACTAATTTATTATAAACGGTCCTTGCACTGTTGCCCGCTCGACATTCCAGAGCTAAGTCAAATAGAGGCATCCGCGTGTAGGTTAGCGCTCACCGGCCACAGGCCGCTTGTACTAGTCTCAGCCTACCTCTCGGGGAATAGAACCCTCCTTCAAAGCGACCTAGATACGCTTCTTAACTTAGGCCCTTCCGTGATAATTGCAGGAGATCTAAACTGCAAACACGGCTCATGGGACATCGACAGCATCCCAAACAACAACGGAAAGCATCTCTTTAGCTTATCCGATAACCTAAATTTCAGTATAGTCGCTCCCGCGACTCCCACTAGGTATCCTACGGTGGTCAACTACCAGCACGCGTCACCGAGTGTCCTAGACATAATGTTATTCAGGGAGGTCTCGCTCGACATCGAGTCGATAGAGACAATCCATGAACTAGACTCAGACCACAGGCCCGTCTTGTGTAAACTGGGCCAGAACGCCGGCGCGGTCCCTCCGACCAAATCCGTAGTGGACTGGCATCGTCTTGAGGTCAAACTCAAGGCCTTGGACCCCCAGGACTTAGTAGACTTACCCGAGACGATAGCTACGTTCGATGACGCAAATCGAGCGATAGCGAGTCTCCGAGAAACTATTACTTCCGCAGTCACAGATTCGGAACGGACGGTGAAACTGTCGGGCGACCGACGGTTTAACTTTCCGCCCGACCTGCGACTGCTAATTAGACAAAAAAATGCAGCCAAACGCGCCTTCGACCGATACCGATCGGATTCGAACCGAACCCTACTTCGACGCCTTCAGCTAGAAGTCAAAGATCGTGTATCGGAACACCGACACACAACGTGGGACACCTCTCCTAGAGGACATCGAGCCATCGCACACCGCCTACTGGCGGTTGGCCCGCAGTCTGAAAGCAGACCCCCGCGAATCTCTACCGCCGTTAGTTAGACCTAATATCGCTTCAGTAGCCTTAGATGACTCTGAAAAAGCCTAATGCCTTGCGGACAAACTAGAGCAGCAATGTACGCCATCGCGCGAACACACCGATTCGGCCCACCTAACGGAGGTGGACCGCGTAATCGAGACTAGGGCTGCGCTTCCACCGGAAGGCGAACCTTTAAATTCAGTGACCCCCGAAGAGGTCCAAGATATTATTAAAAATTTAAAACCAAAATCCGCCCCGGGCCCAGATAATATAAGTAATAAGATTCTCAAAGCTCTCCCTGGCCCCTTATCTGTTTACTGGCGACAATTTTCAATACCCTTCTCTCCAGTTGCTCCTTTCCGGACGACTGGAAGCAAGCCACGGTTATCGGCATTCGCAAGCCGAATAAACCAGCCAATAAGCCCTCCAGCTATCGTCCCATCAGCCTCCTCAGTTGTCTGGGGAAGCTCTACGAGCGGCTATTGTTAAACAGGCTCAAAGAGCACGTGTTTTCCAACGGCCTTCTGACGACGGAACAATTCGGCTTTCGAGCTAGACACTCTTGTCCCGATCAGCTATACCGCCTAACGGAGCACATCCTAAAAGGCCTGAACCACCCCAAACACATTAGTACAGGGGCTCTATTCTTCGATGTCACAAAAGCATTCGACAAAGTCTGGCACAACGGCTTGCTTTACAAGCTGTACACACTCAAAGTGCCAGATAGGCTCGTACACACCATCCGGGCCTTTTTGTTGAACCGCTCTTTTCGATATCGGGTCGAGGGCACCCTCTCCACAAGCCGCCGCCTCACGGCCGGCGTACCACAAGGCTCCTGCCTCTCTCCTTTGCTATTTACGCTCTACACGAGCGACATACCTAGTTACCCCCACGTCAATCTCGCGCTTTTCGCGGATGACACGGCGCTCTTTTACTCAGATCGCAACCTCAGTCAATTAACAACTCGACTCCAAAGCTCCGCCGACCGCCTCGGCGATTGGTTCCGCAAATGGAGAATCGATATTAATCCCGAAAAGAGTGTGGCGATTCACTTCACACGAAGTACCTACCCGTCACATCTTTATAATGGCCCTCGCCAATGCAGAAAGCTGGGGCAAATATCCCTTTATGGCCAACCGCTCCCCTGGGAGAAAAAGGTCAAATACTTAGAAGTCACTTTCGACTCGCGTATGTCATTTACTACGCACATTAATAACGTTCGTAATAGAGCCGCGTTCGTGTCCGGCCGGCTACACAATTTAACTAATGCTAAAAGTAAAATGCCCTTAAGGCACAAATTATTATTATATAAGACCTGCGTACGACCTATTATGTCCTACGCATGCATGATCTTCGCCCCACACGCACCCTACTCGCTTGTACAAGTTGCAAATAGTACAAAATAAGTTTACCCGCCGCGCAACCGGTGCGCAGTGGTATCAGCGCAACGTCGACCTGCACAGCGATTGCAGACTCCCGACAATTCGCGCACATTTTAAAGATTTGACAAAACGGTTCTTCGATAGAGTCCAGCATCATCCCAACCCTCTGGTGGTAAGCGCAGCAAACTACCAACCGGACACAAACGCGAACGTAAACAAGCGTCGCCCGCGAAACGTCCTCATTGACCCGGTCGACGAAGAGGACTTAGATACGATGGACCCACCGCCGTGGGTCCCGCCGGATAACACTACACCCACAGTTAGTGTTACAACAATCACACCAGTTCGCCCTCGCCTCCGAGCACAGCGAGACCCACACAACGCGTACACAAGGTACACCCGCGTTCCGGGGCGGTTCTCACCGCTCCCAGTCACCGATTAGCTAAATGCACAGTCTACGGCCGTCGGGGTCTCGGTCCAAACCGGCCACCTCGACGGCCCTTAGATAACACACCATAGTAGTTAAACGCACGCATGAGCACATGCGCGACCCTACCCATAGCGGAGGGTCCAAACCCTGGGTTCTGGCTAGCCCACCGGTTCTGCGTCCGATGAAGCTTTAATAGTATCGGGACTGAAAGCAAAAACATCAGTTAATACAAGATACAAGATACAAGAGAAGGCCGAATGCCTGGCTGACAGCCTAGAGTCTCAATGCTCCCCCAGTCTGCTTCCGATCGACCCCGAACACCTCCGCAAGGTGAACGAAGAGGCAGAAAGGAAAGCCTTAGAGCCCGCGATCCCGTTCCCCCAGTCACGTGCTCCGAACTAATAGACACCATTAATAAACTACGCCCGCGTAAAGCACCAGGCTCAGATGGTATCACCAATAAGGTGACCAAGCTCCTCCCTACTAGCATCCTTCAAATACTAGTATTAATTTACAACGCGGCCTTAACCGAAGGCTTCTTCCCATCCGAGTGGAAGGAAGCCGATGTCATAGGGTTCCTCAAACCCTCTAAACCCGCCACTCTCCCAACCTCATATCGTCCAATAAGTCTTCTCAAAACATTTGGGAAGATCTTTGAAAGACTAATATTAGCCCGCTTAAGATCCCTTATGGACACCAAAGGGCTTCCCATCCCAGAGCAGTTTGGATTTAGAGCCAAACACTCATGTACCCATCAAGTGCACCGCATCACGGAGCACATTTTAACTAAACGTCAACGCGGACTCAACACCGGTGCACTCTTCCTGGACGTGGCAAAAGCGTTCGACAAAGTCTGGCACAACGGGCTCGTATACAAGCTATACGGGTACGGAGTGTCCGACCGTCTCGTATGCATAATACGAGACTTCCTAAGTAATCGAACCTTTCGCTATCGCGTCGAGGGCGTGTGTTCGACTACGCATCCCGTTCGAGCCGAGGCAGAACACCCGAATTGATCCATCGACGCCTCCAAGCTGCGGCCATCACCATCGGTGACTGGTTTCGGCAATGGAGGATCGAAATCAATCCCGCCAAAAGCGCGGCAGTCCTTTTCGCGCACAAAAAGAACATACCCATTCCACCCCCCGTTAAACTCTTGGACAGCCCAGTACCATGGGCTAATAAAGTCAAATATCTAGGCGTCGTCCTCGACTCCCAGCTTAAATTCACCCAGCACGTGACCCAGGTCAGGAACCGGGCGGCCTTCGTACTCGGTCGCCTCTACCCGCTCCTCAATAAAACGTCAAAAATGTCCCTTCGGAACAAGGTGACCTTATATAAGGCAGTAGTTCGCCCTATCATGACGTACGCGAGCCCCGTCTTCGCTCTTGCTCCGAAGCAAATACACCGGCTTCAGGTGATTCAAAATCGATTCTTGCGCAGAGCCACGGGAGCACCCTGGTTCATGCGCAATATCGACCTACATGTCGATCTAGAATTGCTCACCATCGCGCAATTCCTGAAGTCGGCGTCGCGCCGATATTTCGATTCCGCCGCCGCGCATCCCAACCCACTTATCGTAGGTGCCGTCACCTACAGGCCCTTGCCGCTAAATATTTTCCGCCGCGATTACCGAAGACCGCGTCACGTTCTCGACTTCCCTGACGATGAGACGACTATCGCCATCGAAAGGATCAAAAAACTCAAGAAACACACCAACACACACCGCACTCGCCGGCGAGTGCGGCAAACATATACTAGGTTCCGCCACGTACCTGGCAGATTTTCCCCTATTAATGATAGAAGCGTTGCTGGAGTTTCTTCCGCCACTTCTTCTCCCAACGCCAACGCTCTCCGAAGTGGTAGTAATGTTAGCACTAGTAATTCCCACAGTCAGATAATAGCTACCGATCGAGCCGAGGTCCGGCCCTCTCGGGCACCCTCGAATCGGAATGCTAAACGCGTGCTAAGTGACAGCCCAAGCCGAGGTCCCCTCTCGGGGACTCTTTAGCCTGATCACTCCATGGAGCGCCCGCCAAAGCGCCCTAAGAGCTTGGCGGCCTCCCAAACCGGTAATAATAAAAGCGTGACGGCCCGAGCCGAGGCTCCCCCGGGAGCCCTCGAGCTTAGTCACCATAACGCGTAATAATAGTACGCCGAGGTTCAGGCTAGGCGCCTCGTGCGCCAGGCCACCTCAAGTCCGTCGGATCTGTAAAGGCCCCTAAGGCCAACGGTGGCTCATCCAGCCCAAAAAAAAAAAAATTTTTTTTGGAAATACAAGAAAAGGTCGTAAATCTTTTGAGTCGTCAGACTATTTCCAATTATCACATATTTAGTTTTGAGCCAATGAGTGTGACTTTCTAATAAGAACTTCAGTTGTGTCACCTATGTTTTATATACATTTTGATAATGTGAAGGAGAAAAATTAAATGTGCTTAAGGCAAAACTCCACCTAGCTAACGATATGATATGTTATGGCTGAAGACCGGAAAATCGTTAACTATTATTATTTTCACATCATGCAATTAATCGGCGGTTCAAGCTTATTATAAAACCAACTATTATTGATTATTGGATTGACAGAAAATGAAGAATACATTGTTAATGCCTTATATACACAACAACAGTGGATATGTATCATTACTTTATGTTTATAATAATATTACAGATTTTATACCAGTGTCGTTAAGTTCCTGCATAAAAAGTCAAGTTAGTCGTGCTAGAAGGGTGTACATGGAATCTTGTCCAGCATTTTGCCCCCAGTATTACCGACCCGTGTGCGCTGCTTCTACTTTGAGAGAATATCAGTACAGGACTTTTGAAAACGGTTGTTACCTAGACATGATCAACTGCCGAGGACACGAAGATTCCGGTACATTTCGATTTTTTATGATTTCCCCTAAAAAAAATTTTACAAATGTTAGTGAAATTTTACATCATAAATTTAAACTTCACATTATGGCATAAAATAGAACAGAATTTGCATTATTCAATAGGCATCGTAAGTAGACTCTTTACCTTTGATCTGTAATATATATTTTTAGCAAGGTATATGACAACTTTCGTTTAAGAAACTATCTTGCAAAATTAATACTTTTCTCATTTTACTTTTGATATAATGAGATAAATTAGATTTACAAAGATCTTCCCAGAATTTTTGTAATAACGTTAAAATTTCGTGACTCTACTTCACTGCCTGTATTAAAACAATGTAAACAGTCTGATCAGGCCCAAATCCACATTCTGATAAGTTTTATTAAAATATCGGTAGGTTATATAATAATAATAATAGATTTATAATAATTGATCCTTGTGCCAAAGCAAAAGCTCTAGAAGAACGCGACTGGCATAATAAGGAAAAAAAGGACTGGCATAAAAAGTATTTACACTGTTTCCTTTAGCTTAAGAGATAACCGGAACCACATTTTCTTGATGGTGAGCGTCGATAATACCTCTGGTGTTGTTTGTATCAATGAGCACTCCGCTCATTATTTTATTGTTCTTATGTTATTTTATCGTTATTACAAATGTATTTCACGCTTTCAGGTTACGTGGAGGTGCCGCTGAAGTACTGTCAAAACCATCTAATGAAGAATTTCTTTAGAGAGCAGATAGTTGTCTCCAATTTACACAATTATAGAGAAGCTATAACATAAACATTTTGGATTAAGAATAAATGAGAAGAGGATATTTCTCAAGTTGTTTTTATGTCTAAAGAACTGGCTCTGGGCGAAAAATATGAGACATTTTCGTCTTTTATTTTAACTTGTTCTATAAATATTGGATTATCTGACGAAAAACTCCCAAAAAACTTTCGTGATAATTAAATATGGCCTCGCACATTCTTAAAGTCTATTCAGTACTTTCTTGAATTATTCAGTACCTACAAAATCACCTACAAAATAAATATGGAACAAGAAAGTCTAATTCAAAGTTCTAAAAACATTGAAAACAAAAGAGGCAAACCTAACAAACTTTGAATATCGTTATATATAGGTAATCTATAAGGCCTACATCATCATCATCATTCGCAAGACGTCCACTGTTGAACATAGGCCTCCCTCTTAGAACGCAACAACGAACGACACTTTGCCATTTGCATCCACCGGTTGCCCGCAACTCAAGAATTGGGCTGCAGGGCTACTAAAGTAATCATCATCACTATCTTCCTGCCCTTATCTCAACTAAATAGAGACGGCTCAACATGTAAATCATGCTGTTAGTTGTTCTTTGCTAGGTTTTTTATGGTCGGACACCTGCCTGTTATCAATCCTCCTTAAAACCAACTACCCGGATCCGGAACAATAGTACACAGATATTTCCCGTGGGGGAATCGAAACTAAGACCCTCGGCGTCGAAGCCAATTAGCGTAACAACTGGGCCACCGAATGCATGTGCTAAGCTTCATAAATTATTCGGATAATATCAGTCCTGAAAAATTTTGACAACAAAACCCAATTGTAACCAACTCAGGTGTCTGCTGAACGATAGTAAACATTATTCAAATTTCAAAAGGAAACATCTAATTACTTTGCTAAACGTTGACATGTACTCATACATTACATATGCTAATGGCTTCGTAACAGAGAGCAACTTGAGCTTAAAACTCGTACTCAATCATGCTTAACCATCGTGAGAACCGAACGATAAAGTTTTACCCAAATTGCCATTTAGGACACCTGGGATCTATTACGTTACTTTAACTTATAAGCTACTATAGTACTCGGATATAATACCTTCTTCTATTCCTTTAGCTGGTCTATAACTAAATGTCAAAATTATAAAATTTTTCATTCAAATTATGTTACAAAATAAAACAATTTGAAAAAATTACACTGGATGTGTCAGGCTGAAGACGAATACGACAAATTGTATTATATTTATATTCATATCATCCCAAAGCCAAACATCACAGTTTTGATTGATGAGGAATCATGAATTTAAACTGTTTCATTTTGTAGTGTCATAATTTAATTTCTCAAATCCCATAAATCATTTTAAATCTTTCAAAGCGCTTCCCTCTACAATAGCAGTAATAAGAACACAGAGGCAAACAAACTACAGGACCTGACAATGCCACATTTCATATTACATTTAATGCTAGCGAACATATTCCCTGAACCTTTTTTTTTATCTGAAAAGTTGCCAAGCGAGCAGACGGTTCACCTGATGTTAAGTGAATACCGCCGCCGCCGAACCTGCCCATTCGTGCAACAGACGAGACTGCTGCGTGGCCCTAAAAACATTTAGTGAATCGTTGAAAATATCCAGATCGGTGCTTGATACAGACCAATAAGTGTATTCAGACAAAATTCTTGAAAATTACTTATGCAGTCCTTTATTGGTGCGATACGGGGAATGTAAAATAGTTTGGTAATATGAGATCTACGATTAATTATATTAATCAGGTTCCACGATTACATAAATTACAAACATTGAAATGTTTTAACCTTTGGTTATACGGCTGTCTGTTGGAGATATTCGAAGAAATAAAAGCAAGGTGCCCTGTGAAGATGCGCTGGATCCTTTCCACACGCTGTGTTACTTTCACGTTTTAATTTAATTCTCGCAAACCACGAATGCTATTGCAACGAATATTCACACGGCGAAAACTAATAAACAAATGAACCCAATAACAACAGTAAAATAGAAATGTAATAAGTTAATTTCATATGGTGGAATTTTTAATACTCGCTCTTAAATCACTATCATTTTAAATCACTCATCATAGATCATTCATCGATATTGTAACCATGGTAAAAAAATCCGAGAATATTAATTTCGGATTTTCCTAGGTACAAAGATTTAAACAGAATTATGATGTCATTTAATTATTTATTTATACCTGACCTTGGCAACATATCGTGATGTTTTGTGCAGGATGAAGAGAAAAATTAAATCAAATCAATTAAAAATAAAATTAAATCAACGAGCTGTAAAAAAAATCTTACTAACTCGATTTAATATAATTGATTAAGCAGTAGTTGTAATTTCATTTTTTCACGATTTTTCTTTCAACATTTTCGGTGTGCTGATTTTTCGAGTTATGACACTAATGAAAACCAGAGATCTTAGAGAATGGTTAGCATATTAGCAATCTATAGTTATAATGTGATATTTATTGAACACATTACAGAACCTGACAGTATTACTATTTATGTATTTTATCATCCTATTAAGAACAATTTTAACTCCAAAAATTCCACCGATACTACTCAAATTTTTATCAAGCAAGTGGTTTGGAAAAAACTTAAACGCTGAATAACTGCGAACGAAGTGACATGAAGTAGTTGGTCTTCTGAAGCAGATATCCTACGTCTACTGACTGATTTGTAGAGGAAAGAAAATCTGGTTCAAACTTAAATATCGTCAGTATATACAATTGATAGCAAATTCTTTCTTAGCTTAGATAGCAAATTATCTCCTCTGGAACGTAAATGACTATGTTTACAATATAAATCGTTGAACTTAAGGTCATTGATAAGATAAATCCGATTTCAGCTCTTAATGTGACTCTCGAGGGTAATTGCCTTCATCCGAATCGAGATATAAAAAAATGAAAATTTAACTTTTACGTGTCTCAGTATATAAGTATACCTACCAATTCTGTACGGAGTAACCTGTCGAATTTCTTTTCTTTCGAAAAGAAAAAAAATTCTGTAAGCAAATAAAATAATCAGTGTGTTTTCTTTATCGTCACTTGAATACGCATATTTTAATAAAGTACTTGCGAAAACTAAAAATTTTACCCATAATATTTATTCAAATGAAACCACATTAGGTATTTAGATTTACATTTTGAGACTTTATTGTGGTAGGAACTTGACCAATTAATGTAGTTGAGCTGATTTTTTAACATAAAACATGATGTATTCTCCAAAGCCAGAAGAAGGAAAATGCTAGAGCTTTTGCCTCTATATATAAAAAAAATCAAATGATTTCATTCAACTAGTTTAGTGGACTAAAATATGAAAAATTTATTGTACGTCAAACGCTCGAGCAAATTCGTCAAAATCCGTACATAAAAAAACCCCAGACGTCAAACCTAGTTTTAGGCCGTATCTGTACAGCATTTCTATCTATATATAGTGACGAAACATGTACCCATTGTCTCTTTTTATCTTTTTGTAAATATTAATAAGCTGGCCTCTTCTAATTTATTCTCTATATGTTTATATTATAAAACGAGTTAACGCTGGACCTCAGTTTGTTTAAAGTAATTGTAGTGATATCACGGATATTATTTTACTCTAACTGTCGGAGTACATTATTAACTGTTTTAAATAGCAGTATCAGCCACCAATAAGGCCAATAGAGTTGCAAAGTGGATTGTGCAAATTCAAATTTAGTACTTAAAGCTTTCCAAAGGTAATTGGTGATGTTTTTTTTTTTACATTTTCGTATGAAAACATTATTACGCATAATATTTATATTAATTTTATATGAAATATCAATTAATAACACTGTTCGTTGAGAAGGGGACATAAAGATATAATTTAAGACTTATCCTATATGTCCTTATGTCTCCTCATCTATCAGGGGAGGAAATTAGAAAAAAAGAAGGAAATTAATTGCGGTGACATTTACGCTACGTCAAGTGCCTGAGAGATGAACACGGAAAACGTAGAGCAATGGAACGTGTTCCGCTTCCCAAAATCAGTAAAGAAACCTTTGAAGTGTTTAGCCCAGTTGAATATAAATTCGTATTATTCAAACGTGTAACGCTTTCATTCTATATACTGGTCATGTCCCTTCGTTATTGTAATCATTATCTCTTTCTTTCATACCAGTCCTATTGCAATTGAACTTTGTCTATATACACATACAAACAAGTAGAATAAAATTTCAAAAACTTAAAAAAACCCGATTGCGTGTCTGTGTATGTTTTTATTTTGATGTACCCAGTGTCACTCACACAGCAAATAATAATCTAACGACACCTCTCAAGCTAAAATCCATCAAGCCATTCAAGCTGTAGAACGTGGCAAACAATTATACACATATACATACATACATACTTTCGAAAAACACAATCCTCCTTCTGGCGCAGTCAGGTAAAAAGAAGCCCACTACGTCATATCGTGGTTGTCACATTTTTGTCTATTAAAAGAAAAATTATGACTGGTAAGAAATACGTTGAAGAGTTACTTTTAGAATTACTCTTTAAACATTACAAAAACATTATGTAATGTTTAAAGAGTAATTCTAATTCAGTTTAAGAGAATATTGTTTGGTGCCTATCTGCTGCCGTTTTTCTAGATAACCTTTTTGTATTTATTGCTCATCACCATCACATAATATTTCACTGACATTTTTAAATAATGCACTTCTATCGTATATAACTCGATTTTAAAATTATCGTTTTCTCAAATTTACACATTTTAATGTTAACAGAATTAATCGAAAGACGACATGAGTAACTAACTGGTTATTTGTGAATTGTATACTAAATTAAGACTGACGCAGTTCTACAAAAACACGCGTATCGATTAATAAAATTGCTAGTTAATAAACAGCTTTTACTTCGGTAAAAAATTCTTACTTGATTTACCAGTTTTTTTATTAAAGCCATAAACATGAGCCTTCATGGCTTATGTTTATGGCTTAATAATATAAGTGACAATCAATAAAATACTTCAAAACTCTATTCACGTATCTTCAAAAACAAAATCAATAATATGGATGGACAGTGTGTTTAATTACTTTTTTGGTAGTTGTGTTTATACAAGGAACAAAAATCTGAATTAATATATTAGATTAATATATTAATATTATGTTCGTAATGACAAAACTCATATTAGTGTTATTGTAGTTTTGTCATCTCATATGGATATTATCTTTCTTATTTGCCAGTAAAAAGGATACATTTTCATGAAAATGTGTATCTTTACAGCTTAGTCCACGATGGCTCTGCTACATTACATCGCTTTCCTGCTTCTAGTAGTTAGTACTTTGGGACAAAGGCCTTCTTATGCTGGACGCAACCCAATAGGTTATCCAATAATAGAAACAACTCCAGACTCGGGTCTAGGCAATAGGTGAGTTCTAAAATGACAAATGAACATTTTCAAGCTATTCTCAATTAATAATTGAAATGTGAGTATTTGTACTGATTATTCGCTGATACCGATGATGGCACATGTTGTTTTTGTAACTATTTGCGCTCTTTCGTAATATTATCGATTGAATCTCGAATCTTTTCTTGATTTAAGAGCAGGAAATGTTAAAATAGGGGATTTGCGAGTAACTATAATAATAAATTTAGCATTTAGTGAAGAAGAGTGGAAGGAATCGAATCCTGCTTTTTTATCCATTTGCCACATTAACGATTATATTACAAATAGAAGTTATTCGATGGAAACGTTAGCGCAGTCGATTACTTATTGGCATGTAATACTGAAAGTTTGTTATTGTGGTTTTTGCATATAGCAGGTTCAATAAAAAACGCGTGTACAAATATTGATAATGTGCTTTCGTCAATTGCAAGAGTAAGCAAAAGTATTCATTTTGAAATGTCAAATTTATTTTGTTGGTATACATGCGTTTTGCGTTTTGGTTATCCTTATTAAAGGAGAGTATCTATCGAACATATAAATAGATCAATTACCGATTATATAATGTTCAAAAACCACGCAGCAGCTCCGGCAGTAGCACGATTGGGTAGGTTCGTGATGGTAAGTATGTACTACGGCATCACATTAGATTAGCATGAAGTGGAAGAACGTGTCATAGCTTCGCGGTTCTTGTGGTGAGTGAGGCATCTGAGGCCCAAAATTTCAATGTTGACAACACATCTTCAATCCGTCAGATGTTGTAGATATCGTTGGGCGGCGGTATTCACTTAATATCAGTCGAACCACTTAGAATATTATAAGTTAAAGAAAATTATATTTCTACCTTTATTCACTGTCACAAAGGAATTTAAGTTATATTGTATGCTCTTAGATTTGGCGATGAACAAGGCACTACACAGAGATTACCGTTGGAGGCTTTGGGAGATAGGAACTTGGTAAATCGTTTGAGCAGACTGCCTGTGGACAAGCAACCATTCTGGTTCATCAATTGGAGGGCTTATGAGGAAAACAGAATGAGGCCGCAGACTTATGAACAGAGACCAAATGTATTTGTTGATCCCATTCCTTCAAACCAGTTAAATAAAGTGCAACAGAGAAGATGGGTGTTTTGAAAAACCAATTAAATTTATGTTTTATGTCTCTTTTACAAAATGTACAGTTTTTTTTAATTTCATTGCATATATGTGTGTACTACTAATTAAGTAATAAATTTTGTTAAAAAAAAAACATAATACAATCTAACGTGACATGTCTTTACTTAATGTGATATAGCATTCTGATGAACGATTTATGCAGTTAATATGCTTAATTTAGGTATGCTCTATGCCCAACGATGAGGCAATGGCAAATGATGATAATAATGATAAGTTTTTAAAAATGGCAACTCTATAACAAAAATGGATAAAACAGAAACTTTTGGGATACACGTGATAATTGTAGCAGGAAAATGAGCAAGCAAATCACACTTCAATGTCAAAAAAGTAAAATGTAAATCGCATTAAATCAGAAAGAATTAAATAAATGTAAAACTATTTATATTGCGAGTAATAAAAGAAAATTAAATTGGTCCCCAGGCCTAATATATTGGTTAACGAATATAATTAATAATAATATATTTTCGTTAGTGGTCGTTCACGTAATTCAACGTGAATTAGATGATCGACCTATTTACTCTAGGGAAATAATAGCTATTATAACTTCAGCCCCTAAGATTGTACAACAAGGCAGGAAAATTTGTTATTGAGTCTGTGTCACTAAAGCCTTTGCGATTCCAATTTATTTTTAGATAATTATTAGTTGTATAAATATATATTTGGTCTAATTCCGTTTGAAATTATTTGGAAAGGAAATCATGAAGTAGAAGAAAAATAAATGTACCAAATTCGTATTATACTTCTGCATTTTGTATTTCACAGATAAACTACATACAATTACATTATAGTATAATTTTACTCATCATTTTCAATCTGCTAAGTAATTTTAAATTAACTTACTTTTTGATAACATTTGTTTGAGATGGTGGCAAGCGAGCTGGTGGTTCATCTGGTTTTAAGTGATAACCGCTGCCCATAGACATTTGCAATAACCGTAATGTGTAGATGCGTTGCCACCTTTAATAAAGCAGGCCCAGGCTATCTCACTCACCAGACGAAACGCAGAACTGTGACATTTCCACTTCAGACCAATCTTCTGTGAGGTCATGGTAGTTGCATATTCGAAGCTGTTGCGTGGCCTTATCACAGCTAATGCCATAATAATAATATTCTCAGTATTCATTTGATAAATTGGGTGGTTGGAGTTAGCTACGTGGCAGGCCTGACTGAAGTGTATTGCTACACTCTTCTCGGGATTGACGTCTATTCTTCATTCCTTCTTCCTTTGTAGAGCGAAAATATTAAAGGAAGAAAGGCATGAGCCTCGAGAAACGCCTGCCGTGAGGGAGTGAGTGGTTCGTAGAGAATGTACCCTCAACTTGATGTCGGAAAGATAGTTTCAACAGGCGTACAACTTGGTGTGCATGAGTGCGTGCAACTTGTAAAGCAAGTTAATATGTCAAACCTTGTCGAATGCCTTGGAAAAATCTGAGAACAGTGCACACACACTTAACACTTAGGTGTTTTGGGAAATTTATGCCTTTCATAATATGCTACATCAGGCAAAACATGCCAGGAATGAATCAGTCAAAAACCAAATTACTCAGGAGGAATAAAGTCGTTGAAGTAAACAGTCTAAAACCTGTTAGGATAATTCTTTCGTACATCTTCGTACACCTAAACCAAAAAATTGAGAAGTCTAATCGTGCGATAGCTGGCGGCTTGGTTAGGTGGTTTAGTCGGCTTGCAGATACCGATAACTATGGCCTTTTTCCAGCTGTTCGGGAAGGAACGGTTGGCGAAAAGCGTACTGAGCATGCTCGATAGCAAACAAATAATCGGCCCAAGGCGTCGCTTTTAAATCAATTGTTTTCTATAGATTAAGTACGTTTTATTAGAAATAATTTCGGTAGTTTTATTTGTTAAGACAATAGTTTTTGTAAAGAGATTATTGTCTAGTCAAAAAAATTCTAAAACTCAAGCGATAGCTCATTATGCAGGAAAAAAGTATTTTAGTCTAGTAAATGTCAATGACCACCTTACTTACTCACTATATTATACGTACTGTCCATCAACGGTATAAATGATTTTAATAGTGGGCTTATCTTCGTGGGCGTCAGCAGTCAGTCACCTTGGGGCAAAAAAGCTCGGCTTGGGCTAATGTTGAATCTGGCGTGCCACAAGGCGGCATACTGTCTCCCATAATCTTTTCTAGTTTTATTAACTTTCTCACTGCTTTTTTGAACTGTTAGTATCATTTGTATGCTGACGATCTTCAGTTTTATGTGCAAGCCGATATAGACGACCTTCATGTCGCGATAGTAAAATTAAACGAAAACCTAGACAATAAAATATATAATTAAAATATATGATTTGTATCCAATTATAATATTATTTTCATATATATTCTCTTTAATTAAAATTTTATTATTCTTGCATCTTTTGCTGCACCTACCATAAACTCTCACCACATCCTGGGTTGACTGGTAGAGAATGCCTTTGGGCATTAAGTCCGCCCTTTGTTACCTTGTTTTACTGAAGATTGGCAATAAAGATTAAACAAATAAATAAATAAATAAATAGTGATTTAATTTTGTATTTAACTCTAATTATTTTTTGTGCAATCTTTTGCCAACCGGATCCTAGAAGTTTCATGAGAAAGAACAAAAGATTAAATAAAAGAATTCGAAAATTACGTAATTAAAAATTCTTTATTGCAAGCTAATTATGTAAACAGTTATTATTTTTATTTTTTTATTACTTAAATCTGACATTATACTTTTTATTAGTTTGGTATCCGGAAGATTGAAGACCGTTATTATTCTCTTTTACTGAAGGGTAACCAATAGGACGCAAACCAGCATAAAATGGTCTCTGGCATGAACACCATGATGTCAGTAAGATCAACAAAAACATAATCAGCGGTAAGTGCATATCTGAAAAAAAATGTTCATATTTTATCAACAAATACTAACGCCTTATACATCCGAATAAAAACTATATATTAAATAAAAGCAAAAGAGTAGTTAGTTATATATGTCTCTTCACATGTATTATGTAGAAAAACATCCAAGAAATTAAATTAAAATGACAAAATTTATTTAAAAATATTTTAAACACCATATTTATAACACCTAAACTTTATGACATTTCAAAATACGTGTGATATTAAAATATTTAAAACGAGAACTTTACTTTTACTTTAAAATATGTATAAGATATTTAAGTGTATATTTAGGCTAGAGGGAAACAAAACTAAAAAAAACATAAATAAATCCTTTGAAAGACTAAGACATTAGTAAATTGAAACAAAACTAGAAGGCAATCTGACATTTAATAATACACATAAGTATTTAGTTCAATAGGTCTATTATGCGAAAACACTTTAGCTTTTTATCAAGAAGAACTTAATTATCAATTACCTTATTTTTAAATTAAGATCTTAACTTTCGTATCAATTAGGTTTAAGGCTAATTGCGAAAAGTAAGGTTAGAAATTAATAGTTTTTTACAGGACTCTACCGGGAACAACGGTGAACTATATAATACTGATCGCTTGTAATACCTTTTTTTTATTTAACGAGACTTCAAAATCAACTCTTTTGCATTATAGTCAATTTCGTAAGTAAGTTATATGTTCAAAGTGGTTATTTAAGTAATATAATAAGTTGTAAAATATTTGTAGCGGAAAATACTAATTTGTTATTTTAGGCTTGGCTTGCGTCTAGGGTGGCAGTATAAGAAAAGAGCAGAAGCTCAGTAAACTTCTCAACCCTTTTTTTTTTCAATAGAAAAGCCGTTTCCAGAGAAATACAATTAAAATGAATTACCTTCGCTCAATATCGACAATAGACCCTGAAGATGGGATGCTAAGTAATGACAATGATATAGTTCATGGCGTGAATATATTACAACTAGGTCGTGCCTATAACACTGGAAATCGCAAACGCAAATCATCGCTACGTAGACCAACGAATTATTTAGATAGGTACACTTTCTTTACTTCTCTTTTATTAAAGATTTTCTGAAATAGTAGATATACTTACTACACATTGTAAATAAAATACTGTTTAGATTTTATTTTTTGTACTTAATTTATTTTTAAATTCCCGAAATTTCAAAAGTATAAGTGGTCACAGGGCAGACTTTTTGTTTTTGTTTATTAACAATGTTTCATTTTTAGCATCAAAATTCAAAAGTCAAGTCAAGCCCATTTTTTATAAGCTATTCTTATAACTTCTTTTACAAGTATAAATGTTATACGTTTTCATAAAGTTGGCAAATTCAAATAGCAAAGGAACTGTTTAGTATTATTTTTACCTTTACTTTAGCTATATGTTTAAATGGTGTACTGATACTTTCAAAACAAAAGGTTTATTGAAGTAAACAACAATTTGCACTGTATTGCCATTCATGCAAATTTCATCAAAGTAAATATGTATCAATTAATGAAACTCAATAATTGAAATAATTTATTTAGTTTACAATAAACTTCATTTGTTGAATTATTTTTTTGCTTATCCAAACTGTGAGGACTTAATTTTTATTTAGCTCTTCTAAATAATGTTTAAGTCTTCACGTTTTCGCGAAACTATAATGATTTCGTGTTTAACTACAACCACATCCTTCTGCATGTTTCTTAAAGTTTTATAATCATTTTATCCTCTATAAGGTATATTTCTTTATAACAATTCTGATTCCGGTTAAAGTTCTTTCACGTGAACTTTACGATTCACAACTTTTATTCACGAGCTTACAATAGAGAAATACCAATGACACACTGATTACGGTATGTTCAAATCTATATAGTCATTGCTTACATTAATAAGTAATGGAGATTGGTAGAATTACAAATCTAGTAAACTATTATTAAACTCTTTTTACTACCTATTCAGAAAATTTAAGAAACGATTTCTCGACAATATGATGTATGATATAATGTTTAAAAAGTGCTGATCTTATTCAGGTAAAAATTGTGAAGAAGCCGTCGCTCTCTTTAAACAATCAACGCCATCT